TATCTTTAGTTGTTTATAATTTTTAAACGATTCAACTACGAATCAAAATTTACTACAATCAACTGCAAATGATTCTGAAGAAGACTGCGCAAGCGGATTTCAGATATCTTAATGTCGGGGGTTGGTCATTTTTTAAATTTTTATATTTTATAAACTACGGAATTACAAACGAAAATTCGACGTTTACTAGAAAAACGAAGTTTACTACAATCAACTACAAACGAAATGCTACCAGTTTCCGTAAAAAAATTAAGTTTTGAAAAGTCAAGTGCTGGGTTCACATAGCCACCGTTTTCGTTATTATAAAAATAAAAGTATACTTTTTTTCGGTAACAATCGTTACTTTTTTATGTCTGTAACGAGCCGTTACTTTTATCGTTATTTTAGTTCCCTGTTATCTTTTATATCTGTTCAATAGATCGTGCGATGGAGGACGCGCGCATTATTCTTGATTGAACAAAAATATTCCGATATTGAGCGCTGGAAGTCAATGCCACATGAGAATGCCCTGTAAGCATTTATCGATGTCTTGATTCTGCATGCTCGATGACTTGCTATATAGAAACTAGTTTAAAGTTTTAAATTTTAATATTGATTACTAAATAATAATAATGTAATTTTATAATCTAACGTCTTACTTTAACATTTCAACAAAGTAACAAAAAAGTAACGAATCGTTACTTTCTAAGTAATGGTAACGGTAACGTGTTACTTTTTTAAGGTAACGTTCCCAACCTTGTATGTAGCTATTGTCAATTTTAATAAACAATTTTCGCACGCCTAGCAAAGTTCCAGCACGGTCCGGACGCATTTCACTGTACTTTTGTATTGGACGGTAAGTCGAGTTAAGACGGCAATATTTTATAATTAATAACTCGTTAACTATTGCAAAAATTGCAAAATGCTAAAGAACTGTTCGATTCATTGTCAGTTTTGTCCGCTCTATCCACATAAAAAGGTCCTAAACATTCTCTGACACCCTATATGATTATATAATTATACAGAGTGTCTCATTTTAAATGGTCCACACAAATATCTCTTCGATTAATGGGGCAAACAAAAAATGAACTGAGCAAAAGTTGTTGGGTTTCAAGGGGGACATAAGATGGTGTCATTAATTTGACCTTGGATAGTCATTTGAAGGTTACGTAAAGGTCACTTTCAATTTTTTTAATGGAACCCTTATTGTTATGTATGTACGTATCTTTATCTCTGCGGGTACACAAAACGGACTCCCGCTCCGTTTACAAGTTCCTTATATCTACAACTTAATCCACGACTTAATCTATTCTTACTCTAATTCCTTATAACTAGTACGCTTAACCTATCTTAATCTCTGTTCATTCTTGCGAGAGAGAGAGAGAGAGAGAGAGAGAGAGAGAGAGAGAGAGAGAGAGATTCATTTACCGACTTCATCTCCATTCATCCAGTCATTCATCCCTCCATTCATGCAGACCTCCGTTTTCGCTGTATCTTCCTTCCTTCTATACCTTCCTCATTCTCACCTTCCATCACCCTTTTTCCTCTCCACTTCTCTATCCTTTCAACCACCTCTCTCTCTCTCTCTCTCCTCTCTCTCCTAATACCTCCTCTACCATATCCTGTCATCTCCTCTCCCCACCCACCCCGTACATTCCTCCCACACATGCTCCCATGTCTCTTCCTTCCACCCAGAGTTGCCAGCGGGGACGCGTTTTCTCGTGCACGTGATTTCAGTAACGTACTACATTCGCAAGAATTTGGGTATATTTAGCCCCCTCATTATGAGATCGTAATTGCTATATTGGAATAATAATACTATTATATTAAAATATCTAATATTTAACATGAAAGAGAATAATTAATTTAAAAGAAGGGATGGA